TTTTTCGCTGCTTACTCGTTTTGTCTACAAACATTACCGACGAATGTCGACCACTCAGATAATTTGCCGACCACCGTTTGAGCCTCTGTGGGAGAGAGGAGGCCTCTATATCTTCCAGTAGCGTGGAATGGCAGACGGTGTCAAACGCCTTTGACAAGTCCAACGCTACTAGAATCGTTCTCTCACAGGGACGGTTACGGTTAAGGCCACGAGTTATCTGAGTGTTTATGGCGTTAAGTGCTGTTGTTGTACTGTGCACTTTACGGAAACCATGCTGATGCTTCGCTGGGGTCAGGTGGTTTGTGAAGTACGGGAGAGGCAAGGCCTCGAGTGTCTTCGCTACCGGGGAAAGGAGTGTAATCGGACGATACGAATCTCCTTTGTTGGCAGGTTTCCCCGGTTTGAGCAGTGGGACCACTCTCCCCACCTTCCAGATGTCTGGGATGATGAGAGTGGCCATTGACAAGCTGAGGACCTCCGTTAGGTACGCTACCCCCGCAGGACCCAAATTTTTCAGCATCAGCATGTATATTCCGTCGGGACCCATGGCTTTGGAGGCTTTCGCCTTCCCGATGGCCACCTGAACTTCACCGCAAGTGAAAGGGGGCACAAGTTGTTGGCAGTTTGTGCAGCCTTCTGGTCACTCGACGCTTGGCTTTGTCCACCGGAGGATGCAGTATGAACTGCCGGCTAAAATAGCTCGCGCATCGCTCCGGGTCCGACGAAGCATGGTCGCCGAAGGAAATTTCGACTCTGTCGTCGTGCTTCCTCGGATTAGACAATGACCTCACGGTTGACCAAAGCTTGCTCACACCAGAGGTGAAATTACAAGTCTTCAGGTGCTCCTCCCACTTCTTCCGCTTATGTACGTTTACAAGTTGCCGAATCTCCGCGTTGAGATCCCTGATACGGGGATCTCCGGGATCGGCCTGACGAAGGCTATCACGCTCATCGGCTAGAACAGCCGCTTCGGCAGGGAAGTTTGGACGTGGGTCCGATATACATCCTGCCGGTATGAAGCGAGCTGCAGCAGCAGTGATAGCCCTGCGGAACTTACGTTCACCGAGATGGACGTCGGTTGGTGTGGGGAGCGCTGCGAAGGTGTTTTCGGTAAACTCCGCGTAACCTTTCCAGTCAGCTTTAGAAAAGTTGATATAGGTCCGGTGTTTGGCGGAGGCAAAGTCGGTTGGTTTATCAATCGAGATGACTATGGGTAGATGGTCTGATGCTAGAGTCAGCATAGGTCGCCACGTTATGCTGTTTATCAGACCAGCGCTGACTATTGTGATGTCTGGCGAGCTACTGCAGTTACCCATAATCCTGGTGGGTGCGTCGTCGTTCATTATGCAGAATGTCGAATCGTCTATCTGCTCAGCCAAGTCTGTTCCCCTACGATCGTTTGACAGGCTTGAGTGCCAAAGATCGTGGTGCGCATTAAAGTCACCTACTACCATACGGTTTTCACCTCTGAGGAGCGCACCTATATCAGGGTGATATCCTGCCGGGCAGCAGGTGACAGGGGGTATGTATATGTTAAATATTTCGAGCTCGGCATCGCCTGACCGGATAGCGATGCCCTGACATTCTAGGGTGGTATCCCTGCGGTCGATGTCTGCTTCGATAAGACGATACTGCACGGTGTGGTGCGTGATGAACGCTAAGCCACCACCATTATCTCGCTCGCGATCTCGACGGTGCACGTTGTACCCGGCGCAATTCAACAAAGTTGAATTGCTGTGCAACTTTGTCTCTTGGACCGCAGCTATTAATATACCATGCCGACACATGAAGACGGTTATCTCCTCAATCTTACTCTGTAGCCCGTTACAGTTAAATTGAAGGAGCTTCATGTGGTTCGGGAGACGTGTCGTGATGTGGGGTGTAAGTGAAGTGTATGTTCTTGCCGCCGTTGGCTGTGTGTGCTGCTGAGGTGATTGCCGCCCTGTGGTGGTGGTGGGGGGGCGTCGCAATTGAAGTCTGCGACCGAGCAGCGCAGCACGGGCCCTCGAAGTTCCCCGTCCAATCTCGCGTGGTACGCAGACCTGAGCATGCCCTAAAGTGGCACCAGCCAAGGCAGGTGTTGCACTTGACTGATGTCACATTACGGAATATCCTGGTCTGGCATACCGTGCAGCGGCGGCGTGTGGGTGGTGGTGCGGCTGTGTGTGTTATGTGGTCTGTAGTGGCTGTGGTACGGTCTGTGGTGTTATTATGTTGTTGTGTTGTGGTGACTGTGTGTGGCTGCTGTGTGAGTGTGTGGGGCTGCTCGGGCGGACTATGGTTAGCCGTGGAGGCTGCTCTGTTTGAGCAATAGGGGGGCCACGTACGACGTGGTCCACTGTCTGTGTGTCTGTAGTCCCGAGCAGACCCTGAGGTGACTCCACCCCTCGCAGGCATTACACTTGACTGAGGTGGAGTTGTGGTGTAATCGTCTTCGGCATACACAGCAGGTGTATGTTTCTGGCCCAGGGTTTGACTCGATGCCAGCCCTGAGTAGGAGAATACGTAGTGAATGTAGCCCTATGGACGGACAACTTTTAAGATACTTCGCCGACCTAAACGGGGTTAGATCGCCGAAACAACAGCCCTTGGTCGGGTGAAACCCGAGTCATTCCGGTACGTAGAACCGGCTGTCACTGTACCTGCTTGCTGTCCGTTATCCGTAGCCAAAAGCGGGCTATCGGTACTCGTCGTTGTCCCGTTATCTACTTGTATGTCTATACTCATTTCATTTTCACTTGGTTCCTCCACGTTTTTCCCCTTACCGGTTACACCCATGTCAAGACTAGTTCTTGCCATGTCATGAGCCTTTAGCATTTTTGCTATTCTAATTTCTTTTTATTTTTTTAGGCGCTTGCCCTAACTAGATTGTTGCTCGCGAAAGCTTCGAAGTCGTCTGCCGATGACGTCCTCGATAGTGAGGACGCCATAGCGGCTTTAGGTTTTTTTTCCTACCGTCGAAGGCAGGCTTGATTTTTTTTAAGCCAAAAAAGTTAAAACAAAAGCACAAGAGATTTCGCAACCCCACACTAAAGTCACAATCACTCACCTGAACCTTGGGTGCTCCCACACAATTCCGGTGAATTAAAAAATTTTGCACAGATTTGTCCAAAGAAGTACGCTGTGACGCCAAAAGCGAAGCACCGTACTGTACTCAAAAGCGTCAGCCTTGAAAAAGGCTATAGTTTTTAGTATTTGATTATCCACTTAAATCAAAATGGTGATTTTACAAGGCACATACACATGTGCCGTTGCGCCAAAAAAGAAGGTATCCAATATTATGCGCCGAAACACGTCCACCAACACTCGTTGCTAACGAAGGAATGATAACCACGATTTGGTTAAGTGAACTTCTAGATTTTCTAGGTTGGAACTTTTGAAATAATTGTTAGTATTGACTTTTGGATTGTTGTTAAGCAACCCTCATCATAGAATTCTCTGGCCTCTCTATGATAGTAATGTTTACCTTGACTTTTCGAGCTGACCACGCGAAATTTTTTACTACATCGCTTAGCCCATCAACAGTATTATGGTGTTTAGTCAACCTGAACTTCAAAGTTTTGTGGCATTAAACATAGGTTTGAAACGTTAAACTTGTTTTTTATTGTTATTGACCATTAGAAAAAATGTATAAGTGTATAATGTCATGGGCGGGACACGATAAAACGTTTCAAAATCTCTAAACTAGGCACTTATAATGTAATAAAAGAGATGAAATAGGGCGGCATAGTATAAACACACTCTAGTTATGAAATTATAGAAAAGTCCTCAAAGTAGTAACTAATAGCTTACGAAGCTTAAAACCTTTTTGTCACGGGTGGGACATGCAAAACTGTAGTGATTTCATCGCATTATATAATTTAAATGCCTATTTTCTTCAATGTCATGTTGCTTCTTTGGGACGAAGAAAGATCGAGATATTTATTCCCCACTTCAAAAAAATAATAACTTTGAAAATACTTGATTTTGCAGAGCCTTCTGTATTAAAATATATTGTATTAATTACTTTTCTAATGTTGTAGTTTTGAGTGCATTTATAGTGTAATAAAATAATATAACTAAATTTTTTTTTAGAAAATACGTTAATTTGAGGTATTTAGCATTGATTCATCAAGTATTCCATGTTCAATAAGTTTCTACATAATTGGACACAAAGTTTCACTTACTCATGGAATACCCCATATGTAAACCAAATTTAAAATTTTAGAGTAGAATGTAAAACAAAAAAGATAATTTGAAGACGAAACCTTTGAAAACCTAAATACTGGTGAAATTACTTAAAGAAATTTTAACAATATTCATTAACGTCTGATTTCGATTCATATTCACAAATACCAAGTTTTTCTACGCAAAATTATAACCTTATAGGCGGCATACACGGTGCGTCTGACTCGCGAGTCGGCTTGGATGTGTTAGGAGAAATAAATATGTGTTAGTTACCCCGACATGACTCTGAGTGACTCAACTGTTTGTAGTCGAAAGACGAGTCCACACGTACACAGATGACTCGAGATGACCGTATTAGAAATCATCTACATACATATGTGCCCATCGATTCGAATCACAAGCGTCCAGATTTTAAAATAAAAACTGGTTCATAGGCATGTCATTTTTATGAGCTGTTAAGGCGCCAGAATACCGAATACGGGACAAATTCTGGACATTAAATGAAATACAGAACATTTGGCTTCCTGTATGAATTATATAAATTACCACGACAATAGATGAAAAAAGAAGACTGTCCCTAATAATACAGGACGGATGGTCACCGTAGTTAGACATATGCATAATGAATTTTATAAAAATTTCATAAACATTAAACAAATAAAAAGAAAAATTGCCGAAACTGGTCAAAATGTTACACACCATTTTTTTGCTTATGAGTGTAAATCAGGAAAACGAAGAACCGTTTCTCTCCAGAAAGTTAATACTGAAATATGTACAAAGTATATAACTACATACTTACATCTCTGTCAATGCCTGGAATCAAAATGTTTGTATCCTTGTCTACTAGTTGACTCAATAGGTAACAGAGATCTGGCATTGCTTCGTGTACTGTGCCACCAAAAACACCACTGTGCAGGTCTTTAACGGCACACTCAACCTCAATCGTATAATAAACCAAGCCACGAAGTCCGTACGTCAAACATGGACGTTTCTTGCCGAGCCAATAATTATCGGAGATACAAACGTAGTCCCCATCTGCTAAAAAATCATTTTTTCGAGCCATTAAGAGATCATCAAGACCCTCACTTCCACTTTCCTCCATGCCCTCGAAAACAAATTTTAAGTTAACAGGCACCTGAATCCCAAGTTTTTGGAATGCTTCTATTGCATGTAACCAACATAAAACAGGGCCTTTGTCATCACTGGCACCTCGGCCATACAGCTTTCCTTCGATCTCAGTTAAATCAAAAGGTTCAGTATTCCAGCCATCTTCCTTTAAAGCAGGTTGTACATCCAGGTGTCCATAAACTATAACTGTTTTCTTTTTTGGATCCTATCGATAGAAATGTTACAAAATATTTTACCATTATTAACATAAGAAGAAATGCTCCTAACCTTTCCCAGTGTTCCCAAAATCACATGCGGAAGTGGAATTTCTTTACCATTTGGTAACCGCTGACTTCCGATATCAGCCAATTCCACTTCAGCGCCAAGGCTACGCAACTTATCAGCGACTAACCGCACCATAGTTTGTATTTCATCACGCTTATCAGGCCAAGCAGAAACCGATTGTATAGCAACCGCTGCCTTCAGGGCAGTGATATATTGCTCCTTGTTGTTGTCGATGTAGCTACAATAAGAATAATAAAAAATATAAATGCTATTTACATATGTATGCATGCACAGTGACTGGAACAAGTGTTCACGTGCTGATTTATTTTAATTATTAATAATGTTTTTAAGTTAACCCTTCTTTGTTATTTTTTTTTATACAAATATTGTTAACTAAAATCTAAAGCTTCAAGCTTTATAAAAATTTTGAAAATTTCTACAAATTTTCTTCAAAATTTCAAACTTTTCAAACTGAAAATTTTTGGATATGCAGTTTTACAGCTAAAATGCAAGTTTCATTCGACTAAAATTTGATGCTGATTTTGAATACTTTTTTTCTGGTGGCTTTTTGCACATTTTTCATATCGACATGATTTTTTTTATATGATAAAAAGGCAAAAAGCCGTTCGCGAAAAAATTCAAATATCAACGCCAGTTTTCATAAATTGAGTTAGTTATATGAAAAAACTCACAAAAGTCGCAAGCAAAAAATTCTTTATTATTTTTTAAACTAAAATTGTATGGGCTATAAAATTGCAGGCTTTACAAATTTCTAAATATTCAGATAAAAGTCCGAAAATTTGATGAAAATTTGTAGAATTAATATTGAATAACACTGGGCAACACTGACTTTATACTTATGGATTCTAATCAGCACAAAAAAGTCTATCAAAAACAGCTTTAGCATTCGCCGCACCAAATTTTTTCTCTATTTTTCTTGGCCTGTGTTATTTTCGAGATCAATGCCAAATGAATATCAAACACAAATTTTAGAATTTGCATTTGTTTTTAGTTTCCGATATTTCGACTTCAGTCTGAAGTCATCCTCAGAACTGAAAAAATTGCAATTTTCATATCTGGCTATGTTTGATCGACTGAGAGAGTATAAAACATAAACATGAAAATATGCTGTAAAAATTCGGGCTGATTTTATAATATATGGATCTCTCATATATTGGTTTCAGTACTTAAAACATGCATTTTATTATACTAAAATTTGATGGGCCACAATTTTACAAAAAAGCGAAAAGAAAATTAAAAATAAGGTAGTTGCAGCAAATCGGAATATAAATATGGGTTTCCCAAGTATCTGGACTACTGCGCCACCTATCGGCAGACTTTTTGTGGAGTTATTCTTTTTCATATATACAACAAACACCATACAGATTTTAGACTGTGTACAAAAATTATAAAAATTTCGCAAATTTTCACCCAAATTTCAAACTTTTTAATCAGAATCTTAAAAAAAATGGGGTATGCAGTTTCGTAGCCTTGTTGAGCAGTTGAACGTGCAACCGGCAATTTTGTATTTATTTTGTCAGACTGTGATCTGACATTTACGACATTAATTTGAAAACTAACTGAAATTTGTAATCTTTTTATGTAAGTCACCCTGCAACATATTTGTAAGATACAAAAGAGGTAACGCTACTTCTTAGCGACCATTTTTCATGATGAAGAGCAAAGCTATTGAAAAAGCAGGTTGACGGCAAAAAATTTGAAGTAAGTAAGTGGAATTACATGAAATTGTATCTTATTAACATATATTATTTAATGAAGATAATAAACTCCTCCTCCTAAAACTCCTCCGCAATATTTGTATATTAAACTGAGAATAACAAATACCCAAACGGAGTTCGTGTTATTTTTGCTTTAATTCCCAGCAAGCCCATTTAATACTAGGGACACGAATTTTGATACGATACGATACCACATCGATATTTTTGCCATTCGATACCGATACTTTTTACTCGATAGTTTTCAAACGATATTTTTTGGAATCGAGTACCAGAACTCTTGTATCGTATCGAATCGTAAATTTACAATACAAAGTTAATGGGAATAAAAATATATTGTATTGGGCATTTCCAATCTGGCGTGGCATGACATTTGTATGACAAAATGTTAGAAAATAAAATGAAAACGTCAAAATTTAAAAACTCTAAGAATTGGGAAAACTATTTGTATAAAACTTTTTTTAGTAATATTTGAAATATTTAAGGTTAATTTTCCGAATTACAAAATGTAAAAATCTGTCCTGCTTTTTTATCAGCCGAAGTATCTGACGTGACGTTACCTTACTAAAATTTCTATTGAAAGTTTTGTTGTTAATATTGTTTTTAAACAAATTTTTAACGCAAATAAAACATGAGTTTTAGCCTTAGCTAGGGTTCCATTTCTTGCAAATCGTAATATATCCTTCTTACTTACTTTGGAATTTATATGTAAAGCAATATGGATATATGCGCAGAAATGTGTACTATCTTAGGTTGCAATGTGGCGCGCCCTCACATTTAATTTTTTCAATTTTGTATCGATATTTGGAATAGCGAGTCTTTTTATTGCTATATTAATGGGTACCCGATATTTTTACAGCGATGCTTTAAATGAGTATTATATCGATACTTTCGGTTCGATATCGTGTCCCTATTTAATTCTAGTTCAAAGTGCAACTTTCAAATTGCTAAAAAATCCCGTTGGTTTTTGGGTTAAAGGTGTTTCACATTTTTTTCCATATAATGTTCGACAATTTTCTTTTATATTGAGGACACTGTCAGCAATCAACCAAAAATTAAAGGAATTTTTTAGCAGCTTGAAACTTGCGCTTAATTATAGGTGCAATCCCGTATTCATCGGACTAAAACTAGTAAAACTGTGAAAAAATAAAAATTTGCTCAGAGCGAGAGAGTAACATTGAAAAGTACGGGATCGCTTCTGGTAACTTCTGTCAACTTCAACATAACCTCCAAATTTTGGTTGTAAATTTTTGCTTATTTACTTGTGTGAGCTGAGTGTGTTTACATACAAAATAAGCAAAAATACTTTCAAATTCATTATAATCCACTTAAACAAGTAATTAAATACTTTTCAACGTGAATTATTTGTTTAGAATTTGGTTGCTGATCACACTATAGCTGATCGTTTGACACATTTACCAGAAAAAAATTTTTGGACTAAAACTGGTAACTTCTGACAGAGAGAGAACCTTATGTACTCTCTGTTTTGTCCTCTCAATAGTCAGAGAACCGAGTACGAGATCAATTTCCAGTAAAATCTGACTGATTCTGACTATTTCTGACTAGTCCGGACGCGTAGGTGATCGCAAATTATACTAGAAATAAATGGATTACAACACTGCATACCAAAATTATTTCTAAAGTTTCTGCTCATAAAGTTTGAAGCTTGGGAGAAAATTCGCGAAATTTTTATAAATTTTGTACAAAGTTTAAAATCTGAATTTATTTGGGTTTTGTTGTATAGCCATCTAGACTTTTATAAAAAAGTAATAAATATTAAATAAACAAAGGACAAATAGCCAAAACTGACTAAAATATCACACTCCTATTATTTTGTGGACAACTTGAAATTTGAAACGACATCCAACTATTTTTTAACACTGCAAAAATTCATAATATGACTTTGATGGTACTTTGTGAACCCCCTTAATATATTTTTTAGGCGTTTAAAGTTTACGACATACAACAATATGCCACTTAAGACACCGAATTACCCGAATTAAATGATATTCCACAACATTCGGAAAGTTACCAAATGAAATTAAGAGTTACCAAGTTACCAAAACAGAAAGAAAGTTACCATTTTTGGTAGAAATTACCAAAGTGGCAACCGTGCCAGATAGGTGTACAGCAATTTTAGGTAGAACTTGGATAAGACGCCTAAAAATTAATCTCAACAAACTCGATGAAACAAATTGTTACATAATAGGTTTGTTCGTCGAGCAAAAAAATTTTTACGAATTTGTACGAATCATCATGATTTTCGACCAAATCGCGGTCGTGCAGATCAAAAAATTATCCATCACTCAAAAACTGAGAGCGCAAAGTGACAGTTCTCCTGAGAGATGCGGGAAAAATTTTAGCCAGCAAGAATTTGCAATCACGAAAAACATATGATTGTGGCACATGGTTGCATTTTTGTCTAATTTGAATAAGTAAGTTCGTTAAATTTTAAAATTTATAAACACGAGCAATTTTTTTATGAAAAAAGGAAGTAAATACTTGTTGATATAAATAATTTAGTTAATTTCAATGAGTTGAACTAAACTCGGCTGGAAAAAAATTGTATTCGCAATCGGAATGCAATTGCAACCAGAGTCGATTTAAGAAACCCGATAGCCAGTACGATAAAGAAATTGAAACGTATGTTAAAGAAAGTCAGAACAACAAGAAATATACATGTATATCCTATTTTCGTATATCTGAAAGAATTTTGAAAATTCTATAAAAATTTATTATGTTTGAAATGCAACCGTGGACATCAGCTGGCGGGGAACTTGCAAATTCCTGCAAATTTGCGTTCGTGCAGAAATTTGCAAGTTTCTCAAAATGAAAGACAATTTTTTTTTACTCTCTGATATTTTGAGTGTTGGATAATTCTTGCTGGATTTTCGACGAACAAACCTAATAACAACTACATTTGACACAAACACTGCAACGATACAAGATCTTACATCAAAAGTTGCGTTCGCCAACTTTTCTGGGCTAAAACCTGTAAAACTGTCAAAAGATCAAAAGAAGTCAGAGAACCGAGTACGGGGACGCTTTCTGGTAAATTGCTGTAAATTCTTGCAACTTCTTGCGAGTTAGGGAACGCCACTAAAATTTCCAAGTGTTTTTGAAGAGAAAATCTGGTGCATACCAAACTACAAAGTATCGCTAAAATTAAGAGGGGGTTACTCCAGTGATTTTGGATGTTGTTGTTGTTGTTGTTGTTGTTGTAGCGGCTACAACAACCCCGCCCAGATCGGTTGATATCTCAGTCATTGTCGTCGAGTTCCACTAACGGCAGCCCTAAGAAGCGTGCAGCCTCTACAGGGTCGGTCCACAGGGACAACGCCGTTAGGGTTGTCGGGATTTCCGGGCATGCGTTGAGATGTTTCGAGTCGTGGGGGGTCTCTCCGCATGCCGGACACTCATTTGGCAGATCCGCATTTAGTCTACTCAGGTATGAGTTTAACCTGCTGCAGTAGCCATAGCGAAGTTAGGCTATTGTTGTTCT